ACAAAATACAATAAGAACACATTTTAATAAAAAAAATTTACTTTTATACATTTTTTTAAAGAAACGAAAGAAGCGATGTTAGTAGGAAGATTTCGAGCGCATGAAGGACAACAGTTGGACTAAATTTTTCAAAAAGGGAAATTGAGCTCACTGTCGTGCTAATTGTAGCTCATTTCGAAACAACCTATGTGCAAATTAGTTTACCTATGCAGTTAGGTGCCTTCACGGATGAGCTAGAAATAGTAAAATTCCAGTCGTCCAACTGCATTGGAGAAAATTTAGCCGATATCTCGATCCTAAAAATCAACAAAAATTGAAAGATCTAGAACAAAAGAGCACCTCGATTCCCTTGAATTTTAGAACGAGTTTCCCTCTATTACCTCGGACCGTAATTTCAGTCGTGCCGAAATATGGCGAGAGGGAGACAGAGATAGAGGAGAGAAAACCGTAATGAGAGTCTGAGGGCTCTGAAATTTCGGAACATTTACAGAAACATTGAATTTTTATCTCGCAGGTCGGCGAGGTGCGTCTGAGCGTGAGACTATTACAACAAATTGAAAGCAAGAGCACGTAGGTATTCCGCCGCGCCAAGGAGAAACGCCATATATACATTCCAGTGTTGCCAAACGACCTCCGATAAAATATCTATTTCAGAGATAAACTGGGAATATTTTTCAATGGGATTTTTAGGAGCACTAAATAAAATAGCGAAGATGATAATATTAAAACAATTTTAAAGAAAAATATTCCAAAAAACGCCGAAAATGTTTCTATCTCATCAAAGGAAATTTTACATCCCCAGAATGTTCATAAGACGTTTTTCCTTGGAATGGCAGTACGGGTGGTAGGCGATAGACGGTTGTCGCTAGATTAAAACTCGCACCGGGTAAATGACATTACGCAACCCGGCTGACACGCCGCGGCCGCGCCAGCACAAGATAGAGTAATGAATTTGCCGCTGCGCCTCGGCGAATAGTGTGCACCCGGTTGCGGTCCAAATTCTATCAGGCGCAGCTTCATCCCCGACCCACTTGATTTTGGCCTTGTTCTCAGTTCATTAGGCCGTCAAATTCGGTTATTCTGATCTTGCACGCATCGCGCTTCTCTACCTATTCACCGGAGAACTCCGCGCCGCGCCATGCAACCAGCCTTGTTGCTGTTATTAGAAACACATGCTCTAATACGATTGATTTATCGCGGGAAACAGCCTGGCCAGGCTTACCCTCCCCAGGTCCATAAATACACGTTTTCAGGAGAGAAAGGGCTTCAATTTCGGATTTATCTCTCTTGATTGAATTTTAGCCGCCTTCTCTGAGGTAAATTACGAAATATTCTACGGTATCATATACGATCACTTGTGCATCGTAATATCTTACCACGAAGCCTACGATATAATTATCACTTCTCGCTGCTGGCAGTATTGGAATAGAGTCCAAAGTGTGTTTTACTCCGGGCGTAGGTAGCTGCCCAACAGTGGCGTGGCGTGAATTGCGATGTATCGATTGTTCTGCCATTTAAACCTATGGTAAGGAATCGATTTTTAAGGCGTTCGCTGCGAACACCCTGTTTATCAATATTTTTCCATAGGTTTAAATGGCATAACAATCGATATATCGCAAAGCACGCCACGCCACTGCTGCCCAAGAATTCAATTGAACCGGGACGTGCGAAAACCGCTTATGTCCATTTTTCCAGTCTTAAGTTTTTTTGAGTTCGTATTATTTTTTGGAGTTGGTTGCAACTACAAGATAGGCGTTAAAACTCGTCTTAGGGTTTCCTTAATCCCATAACGAGTCCTTTCATCACTTTTAAGGTTGTGTCAACTCTTTAAAAGTATTATTAACTCAAAACAACTCAAGACCGGAAAAATGGATATTAGCTGTTTTTGCACATCCCGATTCAATTGATATGAATGTCAAATGAATGGACCTCCAGACAACGTCTCAACTGGAAAAACTGTCACAAATCTTCTCTTCAAAATCTTATAGAGAGAATGATCCATATGTTAAGAAGTTTGGAAACCAACTCCTAAACGAGACTCGTGTACCTATTGAATAGTAAATTTAACACAGATCAAATTAATGGAATTAAAAATGAGGGACTTGGGAGGCAAGGCGCATAAGTGCAGTTTCAGAATTTTGAGACTAGATATTAGAGCCCAGCCGCCTCATCTGCGTGCCATAGCTCGTTATGCTTATATTTCAACAGGTGAGATACAAGAAAACGACTAGACCTCACTAAAAGCATATAAGATAAAAACAGGAAACAAAAGCGAGGGAAAAACAGAAATCCGGACCATTTCGTGTTCTTTGTGTTGAAAAAGGAAGGATGGAAATAAAAATAAAATCGTGTGCTCAGAAGCATGTCTTTGATCAAAATTGAGTTGTGCGCGTATTTTTGGTATTTTTGGTATTGGTGAAGGTAACATCTATCAGAACACCAAGCGATTTTGTCTGGAAGTCATTTGACGCGGACAAAACAGCGAATGGGATAAGTGCATTTTTCGCTCAGAGGGGACGTGGGATAAGTGCGAAATACCGTCTCTTTAAGCCCAATTGCTGACCTCAATTTGGCTTAACTGAGCTGAGACGAACACTTTTAAATTTTGAAGTTAATCGGAACACTCTGTAGGTCCGAGTAAAATCCAGAACTTCATACTCGTTTTTTTCGAAATAATAAAAACTGCTTTTATGAGCCTTGTCTTACAAGCCCTTTAAATGATACGTCTCTTGTCTTTTTTTCCTCTCAACAAATGTTCATTGTTAACACTTACATCGTGTTTAGGACTTGATTTTAAGGTTTTCGTATGACTCGAGTTCCAAATCTCGTGAAAGTTTGAAGAGAAAACATATCATGTCTAGTATTTTATTCATGCACCTCATCTGGGGGCCCATTCCGCTCCTTAGGAACGCATTTTTTTCAGTAGAAGGAGTAGATTTTGCTCCGCTTTCATATGATTTGAGTTATTCGGCAGCTCTACATGCTTCGGATTAAAAAGCATTCCGGATTTCACTCGTAGATTTTTTTCAATCCTTGAGTGGATATGTATTTTGGACGTATTTAAATGAAAAGGAATGTTGTGCGTATAGGTTTTGCGTGCAACATAGTTTCCTTTTGCATGAAAGTGCCCCTTTAATAATTACAACGGACTGTGCCATATCATATATCCTTCTCAAATTTCAAAAAAAAAAAAAAAATCACTCTTCTTTCCTCCCCAATTCTTCAGATATTGACATTTTGATTACTTTATGCGAAAGAAGCTTATCTGCAATTAAAATTGTGTGCAAATAATTTCGTTTGTCTGAATGGGCCCATTCTGTAGCTTGTTCTTCCCCAGAGATATTTTTTCTTCTTTTTGCTGAGCTAAAATATTTTTCAACGTGTATTTTACGGTCGTTTTCAATTCGCCCTCAGCTGCTTCTGCAGCAATTGTCGTTACGAATATGTTGTGCGTGCCGATCTTAGTTCATTACATACTTGACTCTCTGAAGGCGTTTTATGTGCGAAAGTAGAGCACTCTGTTGGAGAACAACAGAAGTGAGATTGCATGGATCGCTCAATCCCTACTTCGTTCGTTCTCCAACAGATTGCACTACTTGCACACATAAAACGCCTTCAGAGAGTTGAGTATGTACTGAGCTGAAATCAGGACGCATAACATATTCCTAACAACAATTGCTGCAGACACAGCAGAAGGCGAATTTTTCGGTTTAAAAAAAGAGTATGATGGGAAGTCTGCATGAAACGAGAGGGTATGAATCGAATAAAATATAAAAACGTAAATCGATCTACGTGGATCGATCGACATCGACTCGATGGACAAATAAATAAAAAAAACCGGATCAGAATTAGGAGAAAACTTACAGTCACTATGCAAATTTCAAATTGCGATAACTCGAGAATAGGATCAGCCAGTATTTTACTTTTTCACGATTATTATTGCACACGTACCATGGAGCCACCACTTGCAAACAGTCTTTGGGTTAGGTACATTTTTGTCGGATTTTTTTTGCTCCAAGACCACTGTGTTTTCTCCATCTCCTCTTTCCCCTTTCTCTCCTTCTCCCTCTTCCTATTATTCTCTCATTTTTTACTGCCCGACACAATGTTTGACATACACGGCGTCCACCGCCATAAACTCAGCGCTGTGAAAACCAAAATAATTATCCCTGCGGGTGCTTCGAAAATAAAACCGTAACTTTGCACGTGTGATATCCTTGATCTTCAAAGTAATAGGTAAAGTGAGACATTCGTAGTTTAATTGCAGCTCAATTTATTAAGGTTAAGGTTTTAAAGTTCATGAATTTTGATATGAGTCTAGATATTTTCAATCTAAATTTCTGATTTTCTTTGTTTAATTTACAATCAAAGCAATTTAGTGTTCTTTACTTTGTATTTATTTATTTAATTATTTATTTTTAGAAATAATTACACTCCGAACGTCTTTACAGAATCTTTTCAAGCCTATTCAGACCGACATTTTTTTCAGTAAAAGATTTAGGGTCTCGTCGATGTTTTATTAAATGACACGATAAGATGCATTTCTCTCTTACAGAGCTCTATTTTATGAAGTTTATCGAGCATAATGTGTTTTCCTGACACGAGTCGAATGCGATCATAGGAAATGGGAAGGAGGCGCGCTGTGTGATTGATGGAATGCGTCAGTGGCGTGGCGCGTTTTGCGATACATCGATTGATCTGCCATTTAAACCTATGGAAAAGGATCGATAATTAGGGTGTTTGCAACGAACACTTTAATAATCGATTCTTTGTCATAGCTTCAGTTGGGAAAATATCGATGATGGAATGCGTCAGTGGCGTGGCGCGCTCTGCGATACATCAATTGATCTGCCATTTAAAGCTGTGGAAAAGGATCGATAAACCAGGTGTTCACAACGAACACCTTAAGAATCGATTCTTTGTCATAGCTTCAGTTGGGAAAATATCGATAATCGATTATCCTCGCCTCGCCACTGGAATGCGTAAATTTTCTGTTCTAGGTTTCAGCGATCCATTCTGCATGCTGGGAATCCAGCCGGCTTATCCAAGTCCACAGTCTTCCCCATGCTCACCCGCAGGGCCCAGCAGATCAGCCACCAACTGTCGGGCCCTCTCCGAAGGTGGACTCGATCCTATGGACAATAAATATGAGCACCACGATAAACTCAGGAAACACCATAGGTAAAAACAGATTACTCATTCAAGAAGTTTCAGATCTAATGTGGCTTCATTCAATTGATTCTATTTGAAACTCTCATTTATTATGAAAACCCTCTCGTCTATCATTAGGCACGAAATAACTTATGAACCGCTATTAACTTCACTTAAAGTGTAAAAAAGGAATGAAATAAAGAAATTGAAATTTTCGTTTGCAATTTTTTGGCAGAACGAATCCACCGATACATTGCAACGTGATTTTTATTAACATATTAACACTGAGTTTTATTTGCAAATATTCATTTTTTGTTAATATAATTTTTGGTAGGTGGATAAAATGGCAAACCAATAATTTTATCTTTTGACTGGCATCTACTGACAGTCTCCTCCGGAGGCCGTGAAAGTATAGAAATCAAAATCAATCGAGGACCTTGAAATGATGCAATGAAACAACAAACCAACCAGACACAACAAATCACAAACAACCAAGAACAAAAATCTTGATACTCCAAAGATAAAATTATTGGTATGCCATTTCATCCACCTACCAAAAATTATATTAACAAAAAATGAATATTTGCAAATAAAAATCCGTGTTAATATGTTAATAAAAATCACGTTGCTATGTTAATCGGTGGATTCGTTCTGCCAAAAAATTGCAAACGAAAATTTCAATTTTTTTTATTTCATTCCTTTTTCAGAGGCCTGTTTTCACACTCTAAGTATCACACTTTAAGCGAAGTTAATAGCGGCTCATAAGTTATTCCGTGCGTATTTCCACCATGCTGACCAAAATCATCAATAGCTGTTTAATAGACGTGCGTGAGAGACGTTCTGGTCTGAATTGTTTCGGCAAAATTCCTTCCAATTTTACAAGAATGTATTCCTCAGGATTCTAATTTTTTTCTTCTCCTTCTTTTTTTCCAGCTTCAGGCTTAGTTTCAAAAGGAAAGACAGACGAGAACACCGAGATAGTATTTCTGCTGTACCTGCAAAGTTCATTCGAGCCACGAGTGTAAGGCCGCACACTTTGAATCCGAGATGGAACGAGAAATTTCGATTGTAAGGGTCATTTTGTGTTCAGTTTCATTGATGCACCCATGAATCACATCGCTTGATATACCTAATCCATGTATTTAGAAGCCTCTTGAGCTATTAAATCCGTTCATCCTTCCTTACGAGCAAAGTATAAAGAGCACCTTGAATTAGTAAAGCTAAGAGAAATAGGAAAATGGAATTTTTATTATTCATAAAAGCACCTACCTACGTAGGGAAGTTAATGGCACACATGTTTTTTTTCTAAAATGCGCCAGAATTAGTGGTTCCTCATTGCAAATTGCAGTCAATTTCACGTCTGAAAAAATAAAGCTTCTCTTACAGTTGATAGTGTCCCTCTATCAGCAAAGAAAGTCTGCAAGATCACAAACAAGCTCTATCAGTCAGTATGATCACATAGTTGCATAACAATGCTGAAAGCAACAAACCTATCTCTGATGTTTGCGACGATGCAAACCTCCATTCACATTTTACTTTTTTCAAAAACAGCTAATCATTGTTTTTGCGTAAAATTTCGATTGATTTTTATGCGCCCTTTCGACCCTACCCCCTGAAAATTGTGAGCTGAAAAATCGAGAAGCCTCTTCTGAAGAAAGTAAATTATAAGCGGAAATCTTCAAACACCGCGATCAAAATCAGTTGTTTGTTGGTTTTACCATCAATATGTTCAGAAAAATGTGGATTTTTACATTTTCAGTGTTAAATTTATCAATTTTTTTGCTGTTTCAGTGATATTGACGACGTATCCTCTGATATTCTTCATCTCGACATTTGGTGAGTTCTATAGTCATCCCTTTATTCGCAACTAGTGGTCATTTAGTTTTTCCTTTTCTTTTTTGCAGAGGACTAAATATTTACATATTTGAGGACTTTATTTGGAATCCTTTTCAATATCGATCAGTTTCCTCCTTGAAATCGCCTGATTTCAAAAAATGAGCCAAGGGACTGGTATAATTCGTGGAATCCTCATGTTGCTGGTAAACATTCAAGAGTGGGGGTTGATACGAGTAAATTGAACTTTCCAAGAAGAAAAGAGGTCATTTTCGTAATCTCCTCATGTGCCATTTTTTACCATTTATAAATTCTGAAAAAAATATACGTATTTGCGAACTAGCATAATCCACCGGGAATGCAAAAAGGCGAAGGAAGATGTAACTACGATTGATAGCAATGGATGGGATGCAGGGCAAAGCATGGGTCATGGAGGCCATGGGTGGAAAGAGAGACGTTATATACCTGCATCATCAACAATTGTACATTATAACATTATAACATTATAAAAACTTATCACGCTACACGCTCACTACTATATATTACAGTTATGTTCGTTGTTTCTTTACTTGCAGGGATCATGATGATGAATCATCAGTGTTTGACGCTGTCAGTAAATTGAACGAAGTCAGAGGAGTCAAGGGTCTTGGACGATTTTTTAAACAAATAGCCCAAAGTGCGCGATCTGGTAGTCAAGATGATTTTCTAGGATGTGTCAATATTCCTTTACAGGTATCCCTCAAAAGTTGATTTCAGAATGTATCTTAATCTGTCAATTTTCCTTTGTCTTACTCATAATTTTGATTATTCACAGGATTCACAGGAATATGCAAGTTTGATAGGAACATACATTCCTCAAGGCAAAACGAGAAAAAAATTCGACTTTGCTTTCGAAATGAAGCCCGACGTATAAAATTGAGCCCCCCCCCCCCTTCCGGTTTACAGACCAAGGGTGGCTGGGGGAATTTTGGGAGAATTTGGACCATGAAATTCGGATCCAGGGAGTGGATTCCTTATCCTACTACACGGTCCGAAAACAACTCAGAAAAAAGCTAGCACAGGCGGTCTAATGCCGATTTTCAGTGTGCGCGCAACCAAAGGACTCCCCGCTAATTTGAAAAGTGGCGCGCTAATTTGTATATTTTGCCGAGCGCGCCACTAGAATTGGCGGGAACCAATGGGAGTGAAGTTTCGACTATAGTAAACAAACAAAACAAACGTGGTTGTTGTGAGGTTGTGATCAAGATTTTGGGTTGTGAGCATGGCTTGTTGTAAATTCTTTGAATATTTAAAGGTGCTTGAGGTTCTTGATTTTTTGTATGAGGGAGAAGTAGTTTTTATTTGCCTATCTGAAGCACATCCCCTTAAAAGAATGTACTATTCAGTGTTCCCTCCCTCAATCTCCTACGCAGGTATTCTCTCAAAATATTTGAAAGTTCACAATAATATAGTTTATTTTTTCCTCCTCGCAGTCTCTTTAGCACTGTGCTATTCAAAATTATTGAGGCTTCTAAATTCCAGAAAGCTCCAAACCCTCCGTTTTGGTTTGTTTATCGCTTCGCTTATTTATCCTCATGAGGATTGCATTCCTTGCAAGGATTCACTTGTCATGTTATGGTCTGCTTACTTACCTTCTTCAAATGTTTTTTAATGTCAGTGTCTCACCAGTTTATTTATACTCGGTGTTACCTTAAAAACTGGGGCCCAATTTAGGACATTGAATGGGTCACTTTGAATTCTTGGGGGCCGATTAAGCGGCAACAATACCTAAAGCAGTCCAGTGAGTTCAGTGTTGTGCTGAGTGATTATCTTTCTACGAACTTCACATTAGACATGTTGACTTAAAAGCGGACGTTTAATTTCTTGTCTCACAGGATTTACCGTCAACTGGTCGAGAGGGCTGGTACAAGCTGGAGGCTCGAACACAAAGGTCGAACATCCAAGGTCGTATCAGGCTGAAATTGTGGCTTTCTACGAGAGAGGATAGAGGTACATCCGAGGAGGATAACTGGTCCGATCTGAAGCAGCAAGAGAGACTGTACACTGTGTTCATTAATTATGAAATGTCCAAATGTCACAACGGGGTGAGTAATGAGTACCTAAGTACTCTCCTCTTGTTGAAAGTCATTATTTTCATACCTAAAATTTGTATCGAAGGAGACATCATCTACGAATATTTGGCGTAACTATTCCCCATACATAAAATTATGCAGACTCACCAATGTCAACGATTTCAAATGAAAACTGTATTTCCTTTCGATTGACTTTTCACCATGTATATTTGAAAACACTAAAAATAAATCAGCAACAATACTATTCGTATCTCAACAATACCATATCATAAAAAAGTCATGCATGTACTGTGCGTTTTTCCTCTTGAAATTTCCAGTCAAGGGCATTCTTCTTCTTACTCTTCTATGAACAACTTGGGTATAGCCCTGTTTGTCTTGTCATGTAGTACCGAGTAGATTGAAGCATAAATCTCATTAAAACATAAAATCGGTAAATCTAAAGGACTCATCAAACATTGAAACAAAAGCAGCAATGGAATATTTAATCATACTCAGGAGAAGAGAGACTGCCTAGGCTTGTGCTCAGAGGTTTTGTGGTAGATTTGAAAACTGTACTGCGTTTAGCTCTAGAAGATCTCTGACAGAAACTCACGATGAACTTCTATTTCGTAGCCGAATCTGCTTTCATTCATCCATATTTTGCAACGTTACGAATGATTCTTTAGACTCATGTGCAGGGTTATAGTCATTTTTTGGCTAAACAGTAAAAATGAGCTAAGATTTTTTTACTTAATTAGTGCGATCAGTTCGATCATGCCAAGAACTTGGGACAAGATACCTTGAGAAGATTTGGTTTTTATCCCAACTGTTGGGACCCATATATTCCTTATGTCCGTACCTAATATATGATGCCTCCCCAAAAATTTAAATGTGCAATCCATCTTCAATACTTATCTGATGAGTCAGGATCTTAGACAACTTTCCTTTTCTTTTATTCTCGAACTAATGCTATATTTTCATCACTGATTTCCAGGAATTATGGAGTGGAGAATTACCTCATGTTGCTCTGATGATTTTGCATCAACATGCAATTCAGGGTGATGTTACAGAATTACAATTAGCTGCAGTCCGTTGGTCTGCATTTAGCCGCTCATCAAATTTAGACCTCAAGATTTTGTATGATCATCTTTCTGAACTTGAGAGGATGTGGAATTCTGACACTTTATCAAAAGAAGAGGTGAGTATCCTCAGTATTTTTCCCACATTTTCACTTCTTGGGCTCTCAATACGTGGTTCTAATAAGGGGCAGACGCCCAAATAGCACATAGTGTAAAATTTACAATCCAAAATAATGTAAAAAACTTGTATAAAAGTAGCAAAATAGACCAAAAATGAAACGCTCGTGTAGTACCTAATTCTCACAAAAAAAAAAACTACATTAAAAGCACAAGCTACTTTGCTTTACCTTCTTGATACCAAATTTTTTTAAGAAATTTGGTAGTAAAATTCTTGATTTCTGAATGTTTACAACTGTTCACACTCTTTAGGAATTTTACTCGGAGGAACAGCACCACTCATAGGAAAATTTGTAAGAATTTAAGATCAGATTTTGGGATCATACTCTAGGTGGCGGTAGCCATGATGCTGTGGCTTTTACTAATTGCAAAATATTTTTCCAGGAGGATTGGTTGGCTGAGTCTTTTAATGTGTTTTTAGATTATTCCCTTCAACTCATCTCGAAACACCGTTACCTATTCCCTCCACACCATAGAATTTCAATGAACCGACTCCAAAGTCTTCTCAGGTATGTTTTAATATCAAGCATTTTCTACCAAGCAAGCTTTGCGCAAGCTGCACACGGACAACAATTTTCTCCATCAAAAAAGTGAATGGAAATTATCTTTATTTTTAAGCCTTTAGAATTCAATAAGAATTATTTAAATGGCATGCATCATGGTATTCCTAAATTAAAAGCAAGAGTCTTAAAGGACTTAGACCGAATTCCAGTTTTCTCCAAAAAATAATCATCGTTTACAGTAAAAAAAGCATTCAGTACTATGTGCATAGAGAAAAGGTATGGAGTTGCACACTCACTATAAATATAAAATCCTGCCGAACAAATATTATTTTTATTTAATTATTAAAATTGCCCCAAACAACAATCGAATTCAACCACCCTAAAATACAGAATCTACAAAGACTTAAAGTAACAATGTCAACATAGAGAAACTGAGAATGTGCTTCATGAAGAAGTGGCCAAAGGAGATCACACGTGAAATGATGGATTCAGTGTTCTAATTTGTTATACCTACTTCTTTTAAGTTCATTGAAACCTTTTGAGCAAGATGAGGTTTGAAAATTGAACCTGTATGTGACAGATTAATGAAAATCAATACTATGGGAATTGAGATCCTTTAAATTGGTTGATCGTAAGTGACAGTTTGTATCTTATGGCTAGCATGACAGTTAACTTTTCAATGAAGTCACTTACTGAAGCCCTTGCTTTTAGTGATTGTGCCCTCACCTGAGACTTCTCTTACTTTAAGGGGAAATGGTGGATCCTAAGTTTTCTCTCAATCAAAATTATTTCATAATGAAACAATAATTAAATTAAATACTTGCCAAGTTGGTAACCCACTTGTTCATTTTGTTTCATGATCATAGGTGCTTGGGGCTTTTATCATCAACTAAAGCGTTTTGGAAATGTTGTCCATTCAACAAGCAAGTTCGTGGGGAAATCATCTCTGCCTTGAAGAAAGGAACATTAGAATGGTAACTTGAATCTAATTTTTTTATTCCTGTTTTGCTGTTTTGTTGTTGCTGTTGGATACTTTTCATAATCTTGTGGAAACTAATTTATCAGTCTGATACAGCGGCAAACTTTCAAGGTTTTATCGCATCTGTCAAGTTTTCACATGTTTTTTAATGATGTTCAGATAATGATAATTTTGTACTAGCACAAGCATCATTCTTCAGACAAAGAACAAGATAATCAGAAGTGAAGAAAGAACGTATGAAGAAGGAACATATCTTACTCTAAAATATGAAAGCATAGGAGTAATATGTAATGCTTGAGGCACGAAGCACTTTGGGAGTTGGATGGGGAAGTGGTCAGGGGGCGCATCCGCCGCAGTATCAATTAAACAAAGAACGGTGGGTAGGTCCTCCGGTTATATTTTGCTGTAATTGTGTGTACATTGATACAAAAAAGATCCAGCCTTTCATTGGAAAAGGTACTTCTGTTGTTAGCTGTTGGCTGACTGCACCTGGGGTCACCATCCCCAATAATAGGGTTTTGAAACCGCTGTTTGGTTCTTGTATATATATTCTTAGAAATCTTAGTGGACTGATGTCAAACAGCAAGGCTTTCATGTTTTTTTTTTACTATCGAGAATTCTAAATTCCATGTTAATGAAATGTATTCTATAGGTATGAGGAAACATACAGAGGTGTTGCTGGTCATCCAGGTGATCCAGAATCAAAAGTTAAATCTCTGGCGAAACTGGTCACAGCCATGCTTGTTGATCTTCAAAGAGGACTTCATCATTACAACAGCTTATTTGAAAGGTTTGTTTTACACAAGTATTTCATTTAGACTTTTTTTTTTATCAATAAGTCTAACTTAGCAGTCCCACTGTTTGATCCGATATCTTGAATCATGAAAGTATAACTTATCCCGATTGAATTAGTTTGAGGGAAAACAAAATATTGTTGCATTTGAAAAGGGTACTTTTTCCTGTTCAAATTCCATAGCTGCATTTTTGTATGTTTTAACCTATCTTCAGGTCTATTTGATTTTGATCATGATTTGTGTACATATCATGCACATAAGAAGAAAAAACGGAAAAATGAAGTAATAATCTAAAAAGGGAAAAATATCACCAAGCCCTAACATATAATTAAAACGGTGATTATCACTTTTTGCTGCTAACTTTGGTTGCTGTCCATTAGTTACACAGCGCGCAGAATGCGCCTAAAATCAAATATACCTGAAGAAGCAATAATGCTGAAATGGCCATCGCTTCCTAAAATTCATTAAATTTACATCAAGAGAAAAAGGTGAAAAAGTACATTTATTCAAAACCCGCTGATTTGGAAATGCATTCTGCAAACTTTTCAATGGTTTTTAATTTACTCAATGCAACTTAAGTTTCCAATCTAACTTAAGCTTTCTCAACTTTAAATATTGTCTTGAGTACTTTTATTGAAACCAAAATCTGCACACTAAAATTCAAAGATTTCAGGAAAGCTAGAATACTCTTGTCCATGCCCAAACATTTGTGAACGTAATTCTATATCAGGAGTTTTTATCATCATATTCTGATTTCTATTGCAGTACAAATGGAGTGCCATATTTTTCTTCAACGTACAAACAATTAGAGAAGTTGGTAAGTGAAAAAAGTTTCTCAGTCTGATAAACAATTCCGTAGGAAATTAAGTTATTATAATTTAAATGTCATAATGAATAAATATCCTCAAATATAATCACTCAAAATCAGTCTGAATTAAAACGAATTCACATGCACTGCATAATTAAAAGTTTAATCTTTTTGCACTCTTACCTAGCCCAAAAAAAAGTAAAAATGTACTGCTTTCATGACAACAACTACAATAGAGTGCAACTTTGAGTAAGTTTTCATTTTTTATCAATTTTCATTTTTATTTCTTTATTTTCTTGTGGATATTTCCTCGATTTTTTAATTTGATGCACTAAAGGTTTAAAAAAGCTGTCGCATACCTTTAAAAGAAAGTTCCGTATAAACTCGTTTTACCTCCTGAAGAATTGTCTGTTCAGTACCTAATTTTATGAACCTTTCTTCAAAATTTCTGCCCTGAGATATTTCCACCTCTAAATTTTTTATTTTCAATGTATAGATGGCCAAGGATTTTACAAAAGTAATGGAAGGATATATTAAGGTATTGATAAAAATTGACAAAATTTTTAGCACAGTGTTACTTCTACATTTTGCTTCACAGCCTATGTTGGTATAATATGCTTTGCATTTTAGTGATTTTAGATTAGCCAAGTCTTCTCAACAATAACATTAGTAATTTAAAATAGCTTGTGTTTTGTGTTGAATTTCAATTGTGATTGGAGGGCCAATTATCCTCTTATCACAGTTGTTTTTTCATTTTAATTTTGAGCGTAAAATTATTTTTGTATTACTTGTAGGTTGTAATAATAAATAGTTAGCCGAATTGCTGTACCTGTGCCCGACAGGAGATTTTTCATAATTGAGCTCTTGAATGAAGAGTTTATTGCAGAAATGCCTTCTTTTAATGCCCTAGAGTGTCCCTTATTTTGAAATTTTCAAATTTTAACCAGGTCAGCCTCTAAAAAGATTCCATGTAGTTTAGGGAAACATCCGTTTTTTAAAAAAAAAATTAAGAACGTAAGAAGGCTGAAGGTTAAATTACGTTTTTTTGGTTGTTCAAAGAGTCTATTCTCTTTCATTTATTTGATCCTAAGTACCAGCTTTTAGGGGTAAATTACTATTTTTAGGGGGAATTATTGGCTGTTTTCCCGTGTGAACGGCACTCTGCGTCGCCAGGTTTGGCTCTGTCCAGCAATTTCTAGTTTTGAGGCTGCTTTTTGAACCGGACAATTATTTTCATAGATAGTACGCCTCTTTTTTGATGTCTAGTAGTACGGACATAGATTTCAACCACCAGGTCGCTATACTTCATCTCAAAACATGACACTTGAAAGAGAAATGTAGAAATGATTTCACACATTGCAAAGAATGTGAATGATACAGGGGGAAAAAATGTTTTTTGAAGAGAAGTAAGGTTTGTCTCAAGTCAAACGTTGGCCCCTTCTAAAATTCAACCAAATTTAGACGAATAAATTATTTTTGTTATATTGTCTCCTCAAGTTAAATCTATTCCTTTGAAGTTAAGCTCTTGGCTGTCAAGTTTCTTTGAAAGTACCAACATTATTCTATTAAAGCATGACAAGTGCTAGCCATTAATTGCAAGCTTTCTGGCTGCTCATTGTGCCCTCACAATTTTCTTTATCTTTTAATTTTCTGAGAACGTCAACTCAAATCTGCAATTCATAAGCTGCATCAAGAAATTATGATTTTGTGAAGATCATTGTAGATCCACCATTCATAGTTGTCATCATTGTACATAATTAGTCGTTACGTTCACAATGATTGTTATCAGCTTCAGTTTTCATCCTTTTATAGTCGCTTCTGATAATACATTTTATTAAAGTTTCAAAGTAAACTTTATGCATACTATGTACAGATCATACTTATCTCACATTATTGCTTCTGCTTCTTGCAAAAATACTTCATTACTGATTTACCGACTGCATCAGTTTCATGTAAATGCACCCTACAGCAAATAGCATCAATAACTGATTACTTTGTGAAGAAATAGTGTTAGGCTACATTGCTAATTTCAGTTTTTTATTTTATTTTATTTATTTATTTATTTATTTTTTTTTTTTGAAAGACCAGTGCTTGTTCAATTTTTAACAGAAATTTGAAGTTTTTGAACTTCAATGACCCCTCAAGACTGGGTGAAAAATGTACAACTAGAAGGACCTGGAATGACTCAATGTAGCTCTACTTTGTAGGTTCTAGTTGCTGTTAGAACCGCTGTGTTTAAATAACTTTGTTTGTTGCTCATTCTTACTTCTTTACTATTTCTCATGCTGCTACTGGGCATAGTGTTTGAAAAATGGAAATTGTCTATTATCTTAGAAGACGAAAGCGGTCTTTTGAATTTTATTTTTTTTTTCAGTCAACTAACTTGATTAATTCCTCATGAAAGCGGTTCACTTATTTTTTTTTGTCACTTTGTTCCATTGTAACTGGCCAGTTGAAATAATATATTTATCGAAGTAATAAATAGGAAAACTCATCTTCAGTTCTTTTGCATGATATTTAGAGGAGTACCTGAATGACTTTTTTGTCATCTTAGATTTTATTGCCGTAAATTTTTCAGTATGAACAGCGCGATCTCTAATCTTTTGGGTCTTTAGGCCACTTCATAAAAAATCTCTAATTTATTGATGAGCATCGTTCTTTCATTTTGCAAATTTGTCCAATCTGAACGGGTAATTTAAATTTTTTGTGTATTTCAAGAATAGTAAAATGTAAATTTTTGAAGCACCAGGTATTCCATTCTAAGTTTTTTTGTATGAATTTGATTAAAACGTGATCAATTTTTTCATGATAATAAAATTTTAGTCCATTTGAATTTGTAATTCTAAGTTGATTTATAGAGAAATTTAAAAGTCTGTTTCCAGTTTTGAATGATAAAGTCCACTCCCCTCTAAAAGAAAATACCCCAGCCCAACAAGATGGATAGATGCAGTTAAGAGAATCAAATTATGATTACTTTCAAGTGTAATATTTGATTTCTCTGAAAACGTGAGAAGTAAGAATGCAGCTTTCAAAGTGTAGTGTACCTTCTAAGTGCGTACACTTTTCAGCTTTTGCTTTCCTTAGCTTTTAGAGTTTTTTAGAAATTATCATTAACATTGTCATTTTCACATTAACAACTTGCATCATCAAAAAATGCAGAGGTTCCTGTTCTATGGCTACAGAGTGAACTTGAAGATTTTTCATCATGTATCCAGCAGTGAAATACCTATTTGATTATTTTTTTTTACATGTGATACTTCGGACGTAATCCACTTGTACCTGAAGAAGCCAACTCCAGTTTCTGTAGTTGATTTTACAAAAAAGTTTTCATTCTTATCAATGTTGTTGCTATTTTTACATTACTGGCGTAGTAGGAGGTCCTGTGTCTCTTTTATTTTACACTCTACTTGATTCTTTTTTTGCGTGAGACAAGAATGAATAAGAGGTTCAGTCATTTGTTTCAATGAGAAGGAGGATTTTATGTAATACCAATGATTAGCATTTAATAGTTGACAATTTTACCACAGAGGATCCAGGCTGGTTTCTTTGCGTTCCCTACAGATTAGCGCTCTGAAAAGGTTACATTTCTGTATATCCTAATTTTTCATTGTATATCAAAGCTTAAAAGACTTTTAACCTGTCAGTTCTAACTTGACCATGATTATTGTTCCATTGTTCACCATTTTGTGTTGTTAAGGATCACCAAGGACAACTTTCTTTCCTTTTTTTGTCGTTGCTCCGCTGTCCTCACCTCAGTTTTACACACATCACTTTGTAATTGAATATTTTTGTCCCTGGTTCAAATGCTATGGACTCTTGACACATTGGTTGGTCAGTATCAATGGGAGCAAGTGTGATCATGATGAATTCACGCCTTTTTTGTCGTGTGTCAGAATCTATCAAATAACCTGGTTTTGTCAGGATTTAAATCATTTGTACTGCGTCTGCATTTAAGAGGAAAAATGTTTATATCTAAACCGAAAGATCAATCATTTCAAATCTTCTCATATAGCTCTCGATGTCTCCTATGCTCATCAATAGAGTATGCTGTGAAGCTGTCTTATGCGAAAATGCTGTAACTCTACTCGTAAATTTTGCATTTTCCTACCACTTGTGATCCTCTATTTCAGGTGGCCTAATTGCCACCATGCTTTATTTTTTCATTTTACATTTTAAATTCTCAGCGTTAAATCAGTTTTTGGAAAAATTAGCAATGGTATTTGTGTCCTTATATAATATCATACTGTCAGAAAACAATTGGAAAAATGTAGAATGGAGTTATGATGTTTTCACTTTTGGCCGCAGTGTCAGCAAGTGTTAGTCGGGTGAAATTATTTTTAGCCAGCCAGGAATGTTTTCTCTCTTAATTCTATCTTCTTACCTCAACTCAATGTTATCTCTTGTTTGTAGATGCTCACAGACCTTGGACAAGAAATAAAAGCAGCTTGTGATCAGTTGGTTCAAATGGATGTAAACTCTGAACCACCCAAATTGCCCTTAGATGCTCAAGTTTCCACTCCAATTTTTGAATTGTACTTAGCCGTTCAGGAATTTGCCAGGTATACTTTTAATTTGCTATTAAAATAGTCTGTTATTTACCATATTTCACCCTTCTGCTGTTTCTCAAATAGTAGAATTCTTCGACCATCGGATCTTTTTTTGTCTTAAAAACTAAAAAAATTACATACTTGCTTATGTAGATTTAGTTTGAAACAGCGGAAAGGTTAATTGGTATTTTGCAGGTTCAAAAAATTACACTTCTTTCAGCTTTAGGATAACTCATTTGCTAATAATCGGTAGTATTTGAAATAAATATTTTCAAACTAAGGTCTTAATTATCTTGCATTATTTTATTGACCATATTTAAAAGAATAAAAAATAACCCCATTTAGAGGGGATATCATTTCATATAGTCCTAGAAACAGTAGATCTTACATAGTTGCTTTCATTATAATGAGTTTTTTTTGTTTTGTTTTCGTTGTTTTGCTTGTTATATCTGAAAATGTTTTTTTTTCCTCTCTTGAACAGCATGCGTGAAAACTTACCTGATCATAAATCAATGCCAGTCCAAAACTTCTATCAATGGTTTGAACCCGCTGTAGATAAATGGCTAGATTTAGCAAAAGTGATGGTAATTTATTTTATCTTTTCTTCTTTCAAAAGTACTTCTTTGTTAAAGGAATAAAAATGAAAACATAAAATTGAAAATATTGCACTTATCTCTTCTAGTATTTTCAGTATTACTTTTTGAAATATTTTGTATTTTACTGAAAGTCTAAGATTTAATATTATATCTTTCAATAACCAAAAACAAAGAAAAATTAAAAAATTGCACTTATCTCGCTGAATATTTTCAGTATGAATGTTTTGAATTTTACAAATCAGTTCATCAGTTGAACATTTCGAGAATGGAATTCAGTTCCTTCAAGCAAGAGGGATTTTTGATACCATGGTTTTTTCCTTCGTACAATGTTACAAAGAATGTTATAGTGCCTCTGATTTCGTATGAAATTAATGTCAAAGAACTTTGCATGAAACAAAAAGGGATTACACGCCAGCTGAAATGTCCTTTTTGACCTCCTGAGCACAATCAGTTTGAAATATCTTACGTTCTGTAATCGGCTCAAGAGAAAAGTTGGGCTGAAAAATAAATATTTCAGAAGTTAACAAGTCTACATCTTAAATGTTAATCATGAGTAAATACTGCCAGTTTCTTGGACGGACATTCATTGAGAAGTTAACTTGCCAAAGCCCCCCATGCTGAAGTAAGAATTTCGATTATTCCCATAGTCAAAAAACTTAGGAATGTGAACGCGGGCGTCTTGGCTGGCAAAGAAAGGAGAACTCTCTTTGGTAGCGAATCTTGTGTTGCAAAATTTCCACTAAAAATGCATTGAAGTGGTAAAAACCCTAAGTGCTGAAACTTGATAGGTACTCATATGTATGTATCTCTCAGGGAAAAATAAATATTTTGGAGGGGAAACATGAATTATTATAAATAAAATCAAATCTAGATGCTCGATCATATCAGAGTTGCATTTCAAGAAATCCCTTCTTGAAAGCGAACATTGATTGTTCTTAGTAACAACATCTTGTCAGACCAAATAGAGCATCTAAATGTTAGTGAGTAATTTTGGGTGGAAAAACATATTTTTCCCTCCCTTTGTTTTCAAAATTTTTCTTTTTTAAATTTAATTCCAAGTTTATCTCATTTTTTGTCTTGAAACTTGGTAATTACCTTGTTTTGCATTTAGCTTAGTAATGCTTCCGTTGCCCCCCTATTTAGCCTATGCCTTGCTAATTTATCCATTTTCTTAAGGAAGAGAAAAAAAAATGAGGCTTGAATCCCATGAGGCTGCCTAGTTTGACAGAAAATACAATTTCTGCTGCAAGACATTTTGCAAATCTAACATTCATATCAAAAGAGAAAGATTTAAAAGGCTGTTTTGTTGCCCTGATAGAATATGGCTCCTGTATAGTCTGAAAATGAAACAACGGACCGATGGCACTCCTGTATAGTCTGAAAATGAAACAACGGACCGATGGCAAGATATAAGTTTAAGCTTTCTAATACATGTTTCTTCACCAAAATTTCAGTTAGAGTACGACTTGCTGAAGGAGAAAGTAACATGTATCATAATGCTTAAAGTCGTACCTTTTCTACTGGTCCACCTACTGTGTCTGAATACATTTTCTATTTTCAGGTGATTTAAGACTAATTTTTTGTGAGTCTTTGATTCGCTGTTACATAACAAGGATACAGAATTACAGGAGGATAAGATTTTTTGGAACAGTAGTACTCATCTTTTATTTTAATTTTCAGAATTCCATGGCATACATTTGAAAGATATTTCTTTTGCTTACCATCTTAGTTTACCAAGATCTATAAAGAAAAAGCTTCAATTGTATATCTTAGGCCACCTGTAACTCCCAAATGATAATTTTTTCACAAGTCTATATTCATTTAAATTCTCAAACAATTTTCAGTCTGAAATTCCTTTGGATTTTTTTATAGGCCATGCAACGAATTCACAAAGCGATGGAACTCAATAAAGTATGTAGTGGCGAACTGATAGTAAAGCACACAACTTCTGCCATAGACACGAGTGCCTGTTTTTATCAAGTGAGTACCATTTTGTCATTGTTCTGTAGTGAATCTTGGAGGTGCAGTTTTAAAATCCATTGAGCACACAATCTTCTCAAAGTTTCTCTTAATGGTTAGTAATGACCCGGAAAACTTTTGAAAAGTCAGGAAATTTTTTCTGTGATGAATTAAAATACTAATTTATTTTTTCTATACATCTGCATCAAAAAACAGGGATCTAAAGATAGTCATCTATGTTTGCATGGAGCACAACCTCAATCAGTTTCTTTAGTATGGTCAACAAACTCTTTGGCGTGGGTTCATCCTTCATATATATGTGTCTTGATTTCATAATTTTTAGTTTACAGGTGAGCCTTATTCAGAATTAGAGACCAATGCCCTCTGATTTGAATAATTAATTAAGTAATTTCATTTTTAGTGTGATTTCTGAAGAACAATGCACTATTGGCATCTTTCATGATACCAGACCTAGGCCAAAGACCTTCGAAACCGTACCGATTAAAGGCTGTGGATTATGATAATGAAAGCTGTTTAGTATTTCTTCCCACGGTATATAAGTATTTGTGCATGTATGTACTTTCGTCTTTACTACTTATCCCTGCTAATTGAAAATGTTTTTGTACAATTTTTTTTTTTTTTGTTTACAGATGAAAGAATTCTGGAGGCATTTAGCCTGGCCTGATTTGGTTGGTTCTTACGGTTTAGTGATGAAACTATTAGACGTAAGTGTCATCAATACATTTCTATTCCATGAATACCTACTCTTCTAGCACTTATTGCTCTATTTTTAGGTACATATTAAATTGTTTCATCGGTTATTTTGTTTCCAAGTTAAGAGGCTCTCGACTTTTTTCGAAGTTTCAAGTACATACGCCAACTAAATTCTTCGAACAATTAGGTACCTTTTTCAATAATGGTCTCACTCCAATAGAGTGCTAAATGCTTAACTAGCTGCAATATCTTCATTCCTAAAGCTTTTCATTCAAAACTGAAGGATCAATGAAACCCCAAAATAAGAATGTAGAGGAATATTTTGGTTGTAATGTAAACATCGAGGTAGGATTTATATTAACCAAATCAAGCTCCCAAAACAATTGTTTGGATTTTAATATTTTAATAGAGGGAGGTCCTTTGAAAAATTGCTGTCTTCTATTGATAGCAATAGTTTTTTTCTAGCTTTGGCTCAGTTTTTGGACCTTTCAAAATATGGTTATCAAAGAAAAGGCGCTCCATGTTCTTAACTTTTACCCTTTTCCCCCTAATAGTATTACTTACCGTTTATCAGTCTCTCCCATCCGAATTCCATCACAGGACTACTAAAGTCTGCATTTCTCACTATCAATTTGAAAGTTTTTTTCAGAAGTAGTAGTTATTTTAATGTATAAAAAGTTGAATTATGATGAATGATAGGCCTATTTTATTCCAGTATAGTCTCTCATTATCAATCTCTCAAAGTTTTCATAGTTTTTTTAGCTGTTATTTTTCGTTCAGTAACCGACTGCCAAAGCAAATTTTTTTAAATTTTATTTTTAATTTAATTTTTTTGTTTGGTGTAGAATATTTGCCGAGGTGCACACTATTATGCTCAGCTTGTTCAAAAAAAGCTACATGACTCTGGATACTATGAAGATAGCGGACCGTTCAGAACTAGTGATGAGGTAAGGATATGTATAGGTACATTTAACAAAGTGAATCATCGATACCATCACCTTTAAAGAGGTAGAAAATGGGCGTGTGGGGAGTCAGGTAGAGAACCATTTTCAGAAAAGACCTTGAGCTTTTTTATCTCTTCTGCTCTCGGTGTTGCCCACATTTTATGATTGGCAGTGGGTTAACGTTTCTTGCTGCAAAAGTTCGTTAAGATAAAATGGCAAAAGAAAATGTTGATTTAGGCAGAGTTTCTTAAATTTGAAGAAAAACGGCAACCGCTCTTACCATATAATTCTGAGTGAATTTATGGCAAAAGCAAAAACCAGTCTAGAAAACATTAAAAAAAAGGAATATTTTAATGTTTTTAAAATCGAAAATTAAGACTTTCATTTTTCAAAACTGGTACAATGATGTTTAAAAAGCTAAAGAGAATTTTTTTTTTAGAATTTTAAATCCTTCATTTGTCAGTATTTTATAGTGATATTAAATGTAATGATGTTTTCCGAAGAACGTAATACATTTCAAGAAAGACAAGACATTGGTGATGTTTCACAGGTTGAAATTGGGTTCACTGTAGATTTCACAGGTGGGTATCAGCACGAATAAATGCATTCCAACTCTTATGAATGAAGAATCAATCAAATTCTCTCTATTTTTCAACAAATTTTCAAAATTGGTGGAAGAATGTCCATTTTTACACAGTCTATACATGCATTTACTTAATTATGTGCTGGAGTTGCTAAAATGGGACATTTCATTTTTTGTCACGTTTTTTTTTACATTTTGATCCTTTTTTCTGATAGGTTTGCACTGCAGTGAATGACTTAGAGTACGTGCGACGAGGACTCACCGTGCTACCAGATGAATTACAAATAGAAGAAATACTCGATGCCGTTGAACAAACGGGTGACACCACCAATCGTTGGCGTGACGCAATGTACGCCCTATTAGACACAACAATCAATCAATTAGAGGCAGATGTCTTGCTCATCATCACAAGAATTGGAATGAAGGTTTGATACATGAACTCCATAACATATTACATAAGTGCGTCAGTAGTGTAATACTAGAGTGGATCAATTGATTTTTTTCTCGGAATCATCTGTGGTTAGTTGAGATATTCTCATAAGGTAAAAATGATGGACACTCATCCAAATTGCACCAACAAATTTTAACTCTCTGATAACCCAAATTGAGCATTATTAAGTTAACGTTCCCTCTGATTTCACCGTTTATACGTTTGTTCATTAGTTTACGTAGCGACTATTCATGAATGGAATTTTTGTCTGAAGATTAGTGAAAATACTCCAATGCAACACAAAAGAAGGCCTCTTTTCGAGACTGAACGTAATTGAGGCATTCTTTAACGCTCCAAAATCAGCATTGAGTCCCTGAGGTGAAAGCTTTTGTGGTGTGCAGAGGGTGACTTCTTACTGAGACATACCTAAATACTCGTGAACTCTTGTTGAACGGTGTTGTTGTTACATATTTGTCATTTTTTTCAGCCCTTTTTCCTAATTTTTTTTTTTTTTTTTTTTTTTTTTTTTTTTGCAGATGAGGCCGTCCCTGAAGAAAGCTATTTTTCATTTAGCATGGTCTCCCGACTCATTGCCAACGTACGATGCCATTACTCCTCTACTAGAATATTTAGATAATCATCTTTTATCTTTAAACTCTATGTTGCTGCCACGAAACTTTGAGCGGGTTCTAAATAATGTTTGGGAAGTCTCTTTATCTGAGCTTGATCATCAAATGGATGGCAATGTTGGTGACAAAATGGCTGGTTTTTATGAAAGACTGTATGAAGCCTTAGATATTTTGGTTGATTTTTTTCATGCTGAAAGTAAAGGGTTGCCAATGGAAATTCTAACAGGAGGTAAGTTTTTCTCTTTTTTCCTGCTCTACCTTTTTTTCAAATTATATATTTGCAGGTCAGATCAAAGGCCTTTTGAAATGACATTTATAAAAAAGTAAATCCTTAGTAGTTTTAACATCTTTATGATAGTTCTATAAATATGAAAGATTCGTTCCTCATCAATGCCTGTCACTATTATGCAGGCTTTAATTTCGAATCCTTCTGTAAATTGGTGAAGCTGCAGGAATACGCTTCTTGGTTTGCAATGTTGTAGACTCCCCATCATACTTCAGTTTTTAAGTAGGAAAACACTCATAGTATCATGTCTTGGGAAGCTCTATGATTTTTCTTCTCTGCGCCAAGACTATTCAATTAAAATTTTAAAGCAATAGCGTTAGTTTGTCCTCCTTGGATAAAATAAAAAGAGAGCAAAGATTTTAAAACAGCGCAAATGGAATACGCATTCCTGCAGTTTCACCATCAACATGTAGACTGCACCAAAAATGGGTAGTTGAATGAATCAGTATGTCAGATTATTTTGTTTCAAGTTCTCAAATTATAGCTCATTCAATATTTTAATTTTGAATTTTAAGAATCATGATGTAAAATCAGTATCTGGAGCAGACGAATTTGCAAGGAAGCACCCTAAGTACATAGAACGTCATTTTTAAAGTATGAGGTTTAAAATAATTATCCTTTATGAGATTCAAAGACTGAATCAGTCTCAAACTTGAATTCAATGATGTTAATTGTGGGTTTTGCACTTCTTATTTTGCAATTTGATATAATTTTGACTCAACTTCACTCAAAACATCTCCTCGCGCAATTTTGCTGAGATAGCAGGTTTTTTCCTTTTTGCTTAATTTCATTCAAATAACTGGATGCAATTTCGTCAAGTGTGGTTTCTCTCTTTACAGAGATGTACAAAGCTGTAAAACTAAGACTGCAATATAATAAGACAGACACCGAGACGCTAATCTTGCTGTACTATCAAGATCGTTTGCGAGAGCAGTTAATGACGGAAAGCACGGAGTATGGAGTCCTCTCAGTTCGAGCCTACTACCATCATGATTCTCTTTGTGTAGAAGTTTTGAATGCTCGAGATGTAATACCTCTTGATCCAAATGGTGAGTATCCAAGTGTTTTTTTCATCTTACTGTATCATCATGAATATCATTTAAACTAGAATGTCTCAGTCTCTGTAGAAACTTGTCCAAAGGTCAAGTACCTAGACAATTGAATCGACTCATGCGAAAACGTCCGTCGTCCAATACAGGGTTGTAATTGCAGTGGTTTCTTTTGCCCCACGACACTGATAAATAAAATTGATCACTTTTGTAAACGTTTAATTATACTTAGGGGATCATTCATAAAATTGTTCTACGTTCCTAACATCTTAAACCGCCATATGTTTTTAAAAGTTATTACGCAACCGTCCACTCGAATTCTAAAACACTTTATTGGACATTGGACGTTTTCGCATACACCGATTCAATTGATTTATAGAGATAGATCAGAATTATTCTAAACCAAACCTGGTTTGATTTTTATCATCACATTAAGCATCATTCTTTCAGCTAAAATTCCGTGAAATCAGTACCTAATGAGAAGCACATGCTCCCTATTGTTTTTTACCTTTAACAAATTAAGTGAAAGGAAAAACAAGTGAATTTAGTAGAAGTGAATTAAAAGAAAACTTAAGCACATTGGATAAAATGAAAGCTTGGCTCAAATTTTCTATTGATTAAGGGGTGCTGATAATGATTTATAAATTTTCTAGCTATATTCTTCAAGAGATAGACAAGATTTTCCTTAAATCACGTCATCTTGTGTTTAGTATGTACTACTTTTTCAAACTCCTGTCTTTTCTGTAATATTTCAATTTTAACGTATTTTTTTTGTGTAAGTTTCCAATTACTATATCAGCAGTCACATTGAGTTTCGCCCTGCATTTTTTTTTGTTTCAGGATTCAGTGATCCATTTGTAATTGTTGAGTTGCTTCCTAGATCTCTCTTCCCATACTGCTCTGAGCAACTGACAAATGTTCAAAAGAAAACTCTCAATCCTTTGTTTGATGAATGTTTTGAATTGTAAGTTTTTTGTTTTGTTTTGTTATTAAATTCAATTTTATTGAAGAATTAATTGTTTTCGCAGATATTGCCAGTCTTCATGATTAACTAATTTGTTTGGGTCAGTTGCAACCATTTTTTAAACTCTACTTCTAAATGTAGGGAGTGAACTAAGCCTATAGGAATTTTTTTATATCATTTTTAACCCTTAATAGAACCCCTAAGTTTCCCTAAGGAACTCTGCTTTGAAAATACCAAAAATGGGATCTATCAGAAATGATATTTTTGGCGGGCTGTGATGATATAGCCAGGCAGGGGAATAGCATTTGCTGATCGGCTGAACTCAGCTTGAGGTGTTATTTTTCTACCCAGAACCAAACTTCATCAGGCAAGAAATTGTTTGTTTTATTTTAAGCCAATTTATTACCTTGAGTTTCGTTTGTTTTTATAGCTCTGTCACTCTTGAGCAGTGTCGCACAGACGGAGCAATGCTAGCGTTCACAGTAATGGATCATGATGTGTTAACAGCAAATGATTTTGCTGGTGAGGCATTTTTATCATTGGGGAGCATACCAGGAGTCACCAGTGCAGGCTCATCAGACAATTTTCATGGATTGAAACATGTGGAACTGTGTCTCATGCACCAAAAAAATAAAAGTAAGTGTTTTAGAGGTAACAAATTAGCCAAAGATGTACACGTCATCCAGATATCAAGGTTCTCTCTTTTATGTCTTCTACATTACAACAGAAAATTGAAATTGGTAAAAACATATGTCATGGATACTTCTCAGCTTTAAAACAAGCTTAAGATTTTGATAATTAGCGAGAGGCCCACCAGCAAACTCAGTTTTAATAAAATCACCCTCCGTTGCCACGATGTCACATGCTCACCTTTAGGTGCATTGGCGGATTGCAACCTTGAGCTACAGATCCGTAAAATGTAAAAAGTATCGGGAGGAGAGTCTTACATTCACAAGTTTGCATTTTAATGGGTCAAGAGCGAAGACATCATACTTAAAAAGATGCGTGAATTGGCCAAAAAGCACCGTTTGCTACATTGTCTCCAGAACTAAACAGCTGGGGCGCATCCCTTAGGCACTATTTCCTCTCAAAAACCTTTTCCCCCTGTTTTCTTCTCACTATTTTTTAGTTTTTTAAGGGGTCAGCCGTTTAAATATCGAAAAAGTTGAAAGTAAGGGTCATCCTAATGTCTCCTTTCATAATATGCAATAATACTTGAACGCTGTTGGGCAAAGCAATATAAATTTTTTTGGTCTCCTGCAGAAGAGGCATAATTGCTATTGTTCCATGAACAGGTTTTTGCGAATTTGTTCATTTACTTGATTTCCTTTCTCGTCGGTGCTGTTCATTTTATTCACACATTTTTGTTGATGAAAAAAAAAAAAAATGGAGCTATGTTTATCCTTGAATAATTCTTTTCTATATGATTCCTAAAATCTTTGCAGTTCTGCAAATCTTCCTCCAGATTTTTCTAATTTTGTTTCGCCTTTTATTTCTGCTTTCAGACCATCCTGTTTTACAAGCCTTAGAGGTGAGAACTTGGGACAAAGTTGCTCAGGAATTTGTCAAGAAACAAAAACCACGAATAGCAGGATCCTCTTAAACATAGGTTAGTTAATTATTTAACTATAACTCCATTCTCAGTGAAGAATTTGTTAATATTTTTTTTTTTTTTTTTTTTAGAATAACGTATACGTATGTTAAATGACTGATCAGTTTTGTGGTATATCTACTGCTGTTTTGACATTAATATCATGTTTGGTTCTAAGTTTCCATACCTGTATGTTAAAGAAAAGGTCCATTTCTACCCCATCAATCAATTTTCTAAACAGCTAAACTCGAACTTGAATTTTTTGTAAAAAAAAAAGAGAAAAAAAAGAAGAGAAACGAAAAAAACCCAAGTACGTATATAAGAAGAACTTTGAAACTAAAAATATACCAACAGTATCTATGGGATAATCATGTTTTCGTTTCACTGTTTCTGGTGTCTTTTCGGAAGAAAATACGGTCTTTTTCTTTTCCAGATCTCTTTACAAGACCCCACTGTGTACAGCCATTTACCCATAAAAAATGATCAGTTCTGGAAAATTGTGTCCCTCTTGCTTCTCATCCAGGTCTCTCTCGTTCCTCTGGTTATTTAAACGTTCAAATTTTCTGTATTTATTAGTCAAAATGAGGGTTTTTTCATCAAATTTCTCATGGATTACACTCAGCATACGCTCACCTACTTCTAAGCGTTTATTTAAATATTTTATGTAGGTACTGATTTCACACATATCTATTTCATGGGGGTGTACCATTTCATCTTGGACTGTTACCAACAGTATCTGGGTACTATTTTCGTGAATTCGTGATGGTGCTATTTTTTTTTTATCTTGTCATGTTTATTTCAATATTGCTATCTCTGCATTTTTTGTCTTATACCTACCCTATCTAAATCTATCACTCAATGAGCAACACACTGCAGCCATTATGCTATGATATAAAAATGATCTTCAATATTGCGTGACGTAGACTGTCCCACACCTCAAGTTTGGTCCTATAGTAGCTGGAATGGAGCACTAGTAATATTGTGAAAAATTAGTGGTTGATACTGAAAGTTTCGCAATGATTTAGAAATGAAACCACGTAATAAGGGTAATTTTTCATGGAAAAATGTGACAAGAGATCCTTAGTGGGAGTGGTGGAGTGAGCCAAATTTTCTATTGTTCATCTCTTTAAACCATTTTTATGGTGTGTCAATGCTCCATAGTTATTTTTTTCTCATTCTTATTATTTTCTCTACGCTTTTTTTAATTCAAAATCTTATTTTTCCTTACCTACTTTATTCAGCTTTTCTAACCTCAGATGGTATTAATTTTAATTTAATTCTCTTGTTTCCCGGGGCTCATATTTTTTTTCTAAATGTCGCATTGGGAGAGTTTCCCTTCCATCATCCATCACTTTGTAACTAACCATTGAAAAAAAAATCAATCACTGAAAACTCTCTCTCTTTAGTTTATTTATTTTTTCAAAATCAATACACTCTGCTTCGTTTAAGTATATCATTTTGAGACTCTTTTCTAAATGCAATACTTGAAGTGGTATTATTATCCCTTTTTTTTACAATGCCATAAAAGGGTGACAAGTTCTTTCAAATTTAGGAAAATAATCTGCATAAGTTTTCCTGAGATATGAATAGTTAGGATTTTTTTCCCCCTATCAAACTAAAATGGACGTATTTATGCGAAAAGGCGCTAAACGCCATTTCCAAACTTCTCAGTAAAGCAAGTTTGACTAAAACAATTGGCGTTTCCGTACTAATGGACCGATTTTGGTTTACTTTAGCTTGTTTGAAAGCTGAAGAGTTCCTCTAATTACGTACGTTGCCAAAATTAGGAAAAAATGCATATTAAGCGAGATATAGGGGATTTTTGCACGTAGGTCCATTTGATTTAAAGCGCTAACCCGGATTCCGAATTAAATCAAAAGGCGCTATCTCCACTTGAATCACTTGATTGACGCGCGCGCGGCGAAGCTTGGTGGAAACTTGGTGAAATTTAGTATCGGGGGGTATTTTTGGACGGGAAACTCGAATTTCGGGTCAAATTTTGAAAATTCAGAAATCCAAGATGGCGGACATGGCCTAAAATGCTATCTCGGCCCCTATCCAGCCGATCTTGGTGAAACTTGGTATCAGGGGGTATTTTCGGACGGGAAATTCGAATTTCGGGTCAAATTTTGAAAATTCAGAAATCCAAGATGGCGGACATGGCCTAAAATTCTATCTCGGCCCCTATCCAGCTGATCTTGGTGAAACTTGGTACCAGGGGGTATTTTCGGACGGGAAACTCGAATTTCGGGTCAAATTTTGAAAATTCAGAAATCCAAGATGGCGGACATGGCCTAAAATGCTATCTCGGTCCCTATCCAGCTGATCTTGGTGAAACTTGGTATTAGGGGGTATTTTCGGACGGGAAACTCGAATTTCGGGTCAAATTTTGAAAATTCAGAAATCCAAGATGGCGGACATGGCCTAAAATGCTATCTCGGCCCCTATCCAGCTGATCTTGGTGAAACTTGGTATTGGGGGGTATTTTCGGACGGGAAACTTGAATTTCGGGTCAAATTTTGAAAATTCAGAAATCCAAGATGGCGGATGTGGCTTAAAATGATATCTATTTCTTAAACAAACGCACTACTTGTCTAGAATGGCCGCCAATGAACCTGCGTAAAGCGCACGGGCCGGGTTGTGAAGGCCGGAGGTGATAGGAGCCCAAATATACCTACCTAACCTCAATCTGCTTTCCCGCTGCATCTTGCCAATGTGGATGAGATGTGGAAATTTCCACGTTTGTAAACTTTAAATATATGGCACTCTACACGGA